GGCGCCGAAAACCAAAAAGGCGCAGAAAACCAATAGGGCTCCGAAAACAAAAGGAGCGCCAAAAACCAAAAGAGCGCCGAAAACCAAACGGGCACCGAAAACCAAAAAGGCGCAGAAAACCAAAATGGAGCCGAGAACCACAAACAATGCCGAAACCCCAAGGGGCGGTGAAAACCAAAAGAGCGCAGAAAACTAAAGGGGCGCCGAAACCAAGGGGGCGCAGGAAACCAAAAGGGGGCCGACACCTCAAAGGAGCGCCGAAAACCCAAAAGGGCGAAGAGAACAAACAAACACTTAAGTGCAGAAGAGCGAAGAAAACCCAAAGGACGCCGAAGACCAGAAGGGCGCCGAAAACCCTGGGGGCGCCGAACAACACAGGGGCGCAGGACAACACCAGGGGGCGGAAAACCATAGGAGCGCCGAAAAATCCAAAGGGGCACCGAAAACCAAAGGGGCGCCGAAAACCAAAAAGGCGCCGACAACCAGAAAGGGCGCCGAAAACCAACCGGGCGCCGAAAACCAAAGGGGCGCCGACCACCCAAAGGGAGCAAAAAAACCAAAGAGGCAGCAAAAACCAAAATGGAACCGAAAATCATAAGGGCACAGAAAACCAACGGGGCACCACCAAAGAGGGGGCTCAATACCAAAGGGGCGCCGAAAATCCAAGGGGCGCCGACAACCACAACGGGCGCCGAAAGCAAACGTTGGCGCCGAAAACTAAAGGAGCGCAGAAACCAAAAGGGCACAGAAAACCAAGAGGGCGCCGAAGACCACAGGGGCGCAGAAAACCAAAGGGGCGCCGAAAACCAACAGGTGGCCGAAAACCAGCGGGTGCCGAAACCACCAGGAGCGCCGAAAACCAACAGGGGCGCCGCACACCAAAAGGGCGCCGAATACCAAAAGGGCGTCGAAAACCAAAAGTGCGCCGAACATCCAAAGAACGCCGAAAACCAAAGGTGTGCGGACAACCAAAACGGCGCCGATAACCAAAAGAGAGCCGAATACCAAAAGGAGCGTCGGAAACCAGCAAGGCGCCGAAAACCCCAATAATGCGAAAACCAACGATGCGCAGAACGCTAAAGAGACACCGAAAACCAAAGGAGCGCAGAAAACCCAAATGGGCGCCGAAAACAAACATTTGCACCGAAAACCAAACGTGCTCATAAAAAACCAAGACGGCGCTGCAAACCAAAGGAGCGCCGAAAATCAACAGGTCGCCGAAAGCTCAAGGAACGCCGCAAACACAGGAAACGCCGAAAACCAAAGGGGCGCAGAAAACCCACAAGGGCACGGACAACCAAAAGAACCTGGAAGACTGAGTGGGCGCCGGAAACCAAATGGCGCCGCCAACCAAAGAGGCGCCGACAACTAACGGGGCGCCGAAAACCAAAAGTGTGCCGAGAACCCCCAAAGCGCCGAAAGCACAAAGGACGCTGGACACCAACGATGCGCCGAAAACCCAAGGGGCGTCGAAAACCAAAGGGGTGCCGAAAACTAACGGGGTGCCGAAAACCAACGGGGCCCGGAAGACCGAAGAGGTACCGAAAACTAAAAGGGCTCCGAAAACCAAAGGGGCGCCAAAAACCAAACAAGCGCGGAAAACCCAACGGGGCGCCGAAAACCTAAGAGGCGCAGAAAACCAAAGGGGCGCTGAAAACCAAAAAAGCGCAGAAAATCAAAGGGGCGCCGGAAACCAAAAGGGCGCCGAAAACCAAAGGGGCGCCGTAAACCAGCAGGGCACCGAAAACCAAAGAGCGCCGACAACCCGAAGGGCGCCGAAAACAAAAAAAGCGCAGAAAACCAAAGAGGCGCCGAAGACCCAAAGGGCGCCGAAAACCACAGAATCGCAGAAAACTACAAAAGCGCCGAAAACCAAATGGGCACGGCAACAAAAAGGGGCACCGAGCGCCGAAACCCACAGAAGCGCCGAAAACCATAAGAACGACGAGAACCAAACGGGCACGGCAAAGGAAAGGGGCGCCGTAAACCAGAAGGGCGCCGAAAACCAACAAAAGCGCAGAAAACCACAGAATCGCCGAAAACCAAAAGAGCGCCGAAAACCAAAAGGGCGCTGCAAAACACAGGGGCGCCGTAAACCAACATGGCGCGAAAAACAAAAAAAGCGTTGAAATCCACAAAGGCGCTGCAAACCAAAAGGGCGCAGAACAAAAACGTGCGCCGAAGACCAAAATGGCGCCGAAAACCGCAGTAGAGCGTCGAACACCAAAAGGGCGCCGCAAAACACAGGGGCGCCGCAAACCAACAGGGCGCCGAAAACCACAAAAGCGTCGAAATCCACAAAGGCGCCGAAAACCAAAAGGGCGCAGAACACCAAACGGGCGCCGAAGACCAAAGTGGCGCCGAAAATCACAATGGCGCCGAAAACCAAAGGGGCGCCGAACACCCAAAAGGCGCCGCAAAACAAAGAGGCGCAGAACACCAAGAAGGTGCCGAAAACCAAAAGAGCGACAACGCTTCCATTTTAGACTCTGTCATTACGGCCGTTGCGGCGTTACCTGTTCCCAGCGCTGGCATCTCCCGGGTGTATGGTGGCGGTGGAGTGAGCACTTCTAACGCGTCTGCCACTTGCCATCGCTCGGACGTCCACTGCCTGCTCATGTTTCGGTCTCGTGTGTTTTGTTTTTTCGCAAGATGGTCCAAGATGGTTCAGTTCAGATTTTCTGGCGCTGGCCTCGCAGAGCAAAAATGCCAAGGCCAGTTATTGCGCTTGCCTGTTGTGCGTCGCCAACGCGATTGGATGGGCGTGCAATCAACCCGTATACTAAGGAAGCACGATAAATTTGCACGGGCCTTAGAAGGCCATGCCGACACTTTGCGAGCGGGGCGCGGCCAGCGAAAGCGGCCAAGGATGGGCCGAAGGGGAAGGATGTGAAGGTAACCTTGGAACATCGCTGGTCCTCACTGTGCGGGTTGACTTTATACACAATTCTGTACGCATGATGAACGCGTGAGGATCCCTTGCGCGCGCACAACGATTGTGCACACTCCCCACTGCTCGCTTGGGCCGGAGAAACAACACCGCCAGAGAACAACAATATGCCACTCAGATCAAACTGATAACAACACTTTCCGCCAGAGCATCATCTACCGCAGGCACGATAACATACTGTGCCGAAGTCTTTGCAACATGTGCTGCTAAAGCAAACTGCCAAGTTAATCGATTAAACAATGCTGCGACACTCAAGCTAGTTCTTATCAATTAGTCCTGCGGGGTCGAAACCTCTAGCGCAGCACGCTTTGGACAGATCGCTACGAGTCGCCACCACTAACAAATCGCGCGAGCATAACATGCTGTGCGCAACCGCTTGCCGCAGACTCAAACCAAACAGATACCGTTCACGAGCTAGCGCGTAAATTTAAAGAACGCAGCCGAAACCAAATGATCTCGCAACCAATTAATCAAACATGCTGCTTTGCCAGTGCTGGCATGGCAAAGATCAAGCAGGCGTATTTCGCTGCACTTGCGCACCACCTTTGTGCTAACAGTGATGGCGAATGCTGACTGGGGAACGAACACCACGAGAGCACAATCTTGCGATGGCGCACACAGACAAAGTCTGCATTCGAAACTGTCGTTCCGAGAACCAGAGTGTCTGGACAATACAAGAATCAAACATCGCGTGTGACTGCTGTGCATCTCCAGCGATGCGGTCGACTACATACTTGCGCATGGACGCTGCACGACACCATTGCACACAGAGCGGCGACTTAACGTACGGCACGCCTCGTTTGGCTACGACCGCTACAATCACAACATCACGGCGAACATTGCTTATCCAACGGGGCGCGAATATCCGCGACGCATTGGAGGGAACACCCTTGGCCCTAGACCCTTTAACTCGAACACCTGATCCGCCACCGTGCCTCTGGGCATGAAGTGGGCGTGTCCTCAGGTCCTGGGCCCAATCCTCTAAACCTCAATCCTCACTCCTGAGGAGCCTTTACGTGGTCCATACCCCTCGCTCTCAAATCTCTCGGGGCTTCCCGCACGCCCCATGGGGCTTGCCGCGTGCCCGTCTGGGCTCCCGGAAGTGTTGTCGCATGAATTGTTCGGGCCCAAGGGGGCCACAAGACGGGCCAAGAGGGCCCCAAGAGGCTTCCAGGAGGCTCCCCAAGACAGCCCAAGAGGGCCCCGAGTCGCCAAACGATCGCTCCATGACGGCTCAAGATGGCCCCCAGACAGCCCAAGAGTCCTCCAAGACGCCCAGAGACCGCCAAGAGAGAGACCTCCAAAGAGGGCCCCAGGAGGCCAAAATCGTTTAATCATTTTTGCGTTCTCGCCTTTTCGGCTTGTGGCCCCAAAGACCGCCCCGAGACGGCCCAAGAGACCTCCAAGAGGGCCCCAAGACGGCCCACGAGGGCCCCAAGACGGCCCACGAGGGCCCCAAGACGGCCCCAGGAGGGGCCCAAGAGAGGGAACACGAACCGAAACGCCGAGCCTTCCGTCCAACGAGGCCTCCAGGAGGCCCCAAGAGGCGCCCAGGAGGCCCCTCGAGGTTCCCAAGAGGAGCAAAGGAGGCACCGAAACGGCGCCCACGGCCCCCCCCACGATGTTCGGTGGCGATGTCCTACGACATGCGGCTAAAACAGGTGCAGACAAAATTAGGTCTCCAGCAACACTTGCCATCGCTCGGACGTCCATTCCCTGTGCATGTTGCGGTTTCGTGTGTGTGTGTGTGTGTCTCTCTCTCTCTCTGTTTTTCGCCAGATGGCCCTCGCCGAGAAAACATACACACGTCCGAGCGATGCCAAGCTGCAGAACGATGCGGAACAACACCGCCCAATCTTGCATCACCACTGCTGTCTGTGCTCACGCTCCTTCCGTTTGAACCGAATGTTGCGACGCAACAGACCTGGCTTCCGGGAACTAGGCAATTGCGTCACGCGCGCATGGGGCGCTCCGCATGCTGTATGTCCGAACAGCAGACGTGTGCCACCAGATCACCGACAATGAATTATCGATGGGTGCGCAACTTTTTTCTGCTCGTGCGCTCGAACGTAAATTGTGCGATGCTCTCTGCAATGGTGAAGGCTAGCTGTAGCCAGGACATAGCACTGACTCATGCTCATGCCTCTGGCAAGCATCTTAGGCACTCGTGCTTGGAACGAGTGCCAGACCATCCAATGAGTCGACGAAACGAGGGAGGAGGGTGAACCTGAGGACGAGGAGAAGGGAGGAGAAGGTGGGAGAGACAGACGAAACAAAGGAAAACAGAGGGAACTGAGATGGAAGGGTTTTGGCGTTCCACGTTAGCTTTGGCGCTGGCCGATTCGAGCGATGCAACGCAAACTGCGCACGAACGCAGTACATACACGCTTGGCAAGTAACGGCCGACGGAAACGACGGAATGGACCATCCCAGACACATTCAAATATAACGCTGTCCTACTGGCTACTCCTGTGCGATGCCAGACGGCCCAAGGAAAGAACCGAAGAACAAACAAGAAAGGAAGCGCCCGCGAACGACTGAAGGAAACGTACACGACACCCAATGAAGAAACGCCCACGACTCCATGGAGATCTGCCTCGCCGGCGTGGATCGAAGAAACCCATTGCACAAACAGAGAAGCCGCGCATGCACCCATGACCCATCGGCGCCTAAAGTAGGCAAAGGACACGACACTACATGCACAAGTGCAGAGGACGACCCATACTTGAATATCGCGACAAGGGGGCAACCGCGCTTTTGGGCAAAACCGCACTCAATGAGAAAGGGTATGCACATGACCGCTAGCCTGATGCAACAGAGATCGGGAACATAGTCTGTCCAACGTGCATACTTGAACAAGGCGGCAACTACACCAACAACGGCATGCAACGAATGGCTCATAGGAACCTCAGTGGGGAAACTCACCAGATCTTTCGAACTGATGCTTCTCCAAAGCGCCAGATTCATCATCTGCCCAGGCCTCGGGGAATGCAGATTCCCTTTCGCACTTCCCAGCTCAGCTTGGCCTGCGTCGGCTTCGGACTGTCGCCAAGGACAAAAGAACCAACGGCGTTGCGGGCCCAGCCCAGGCGGCAGAACAAGAACTTCTCCGCCAGCACGGTTCCCTTGGAAGCCGCCAGGTGCGGTGACCGCAATGCCCGATCCGTACCTGCTCATGAGGGCTGGCTATTCTGCGTCACGGCATTGAGCGTAGTCAGGCGCCGCGGTGTCGAAGCTGGGAGCCCCGGTCCCACGCCGTCGCAAGCCGAACGGCCCTGGCGCACTTCCTTGGTCGGACGGGAGGAGAGAGGAAGAGGAAAAAACAAGAAAGGGGGAGGAAGAGGAGGGAGGATGGAGGACGATGTATAGGAGCAAAGCGAGGAGGATGATGAGTAGGGTGAGGAAGGAGCAAGGACAGCGGGACAGAGGGAGGGATGCAAGGGAGGAATGTGGGCGCTCCTCGCAATCTTCCCGCTTCCTCGCCCCCCTCCATCCTCTCCCGCTCTCCTCGACACCTGGGCAGGCGGAGACTAGCGGCCGACGAGCTCCCACGAGCCAGCTCGGAGGGGCCGGCTCGCACTGGGCGGCCACGAGGCGGGCGCCCGCCTGCTGGGCGGCGTGGACGCAGGCGGCGGAGGAGGTGCGGGACGACCTCGTTTTTCGCTGGGGTCTCCACTCTTGCAGACATGGTAGCGGCGCTGCCGCAGGCCGCTGCCGCGCTCGAGGCGACCCGGGCTGAGCTGGCGCGCCAGGGCGCGGACCCCGAGCCGGCGGCGCCCCAGGAGGCCTTGCTGGGGCAACCGACAAAGCAGAAGACCTTGGTTGCTATGGTGCATCAGGAAACCCACGCTGTTGCGAAGCGGCGAGATGCACCACTGCAGCCGGGCGTCGCTGCTGTCCGCGGGAGGGCCCAGCGCCGGCGCCTACTTCCAATACCCCATGGAGCTGGCCTGCGCCGCAGTGGCAGACGGCGGCCCGCAGCCGCGTCCAGCTGCCGTGGCTGGAGCGCTCCACAAACAAGCTCGCGCGAGCAGCGGCGACGTGCCAGAACCTGACGGCCGGCGGAGTGTCGTGCCACGCGCCGCTGGATCCGGCAAGATTCCACGCCGCCGTTTGTCAGCCGGGCGGAGGCGTCGTCAGGCGGCACGCGGGCGTGGCGCGCGCCGCGGGTAGCCTCGCCGGCAGGTGGTGCCACTGCTTGCCGCTGTACGAACAGCGGGTGCCCACCTGGGACCGGGCCCGCAAGCCGTGGCGGGGCCAGGCGCAGGTCCTGGAGCGGGCTATATCTTGGACGTCGAATATGACGGCCTCGACGGCCAGCGGTGGCTGGACGTGACTGTCCGCCACCCAGCGGCAGGCGACCGGGCGCACGGCGGTCAAGCGCGCGGGCGAGGCGGCGGGCGCCCGCCACTGTCAGCCCGCTGGGCGCGCGGCGGCCAACCGCGCGGGCGAGGCGGCCCGCCGGGCCGAGTGCGCGAAACACACCCGCTACCCTGATGAGCGCCTCATGGCGTTCGCCGTGGAGACGGCGGCCGGCTCGGCGGAGGCGCGGAGCTGGCTGCTGGCGCTTGCCAGAGAGCTCCCGGAGGACGCGCAGCAAAAAGAGCTTGCGCGAGCCTACTGGGTGCTGAGCTGCGCGCTGCAGCGGAAGCTGGCCCACCAGCTGCGGCGCGCGGCCGGGCTGCGCAAATGACAGCATGGCGCCAGGCGGCTTTTGCGCGGGGCTGCGCTGTTGCTCGACGCGGCGGCGCGGCGTTGCCGGGGCACGCGTCTGGGCGGGGCGCAGGGCCGCGGGCCTGCGCGGCCAGCGTGGGGCCAGCGAGCAGGTGCCGCGCGGGCGCGGCTGATCGGCGGGCCGGCGCCTGGCGGTGGGACCGCAGGGTTCTGGCAAGGCGCCTGGCGGTAGGACCGCAGGGCCCAGGCCGCAGGCCAGGCGGCCGTGCGGGTGACGCTCCGCACCATCGTCGCGTTCTCCGTGGTTGTGCCGTGTAGATTTACAGGCCCGGGTGGGCCCTCGGCTCCAGGACCAGTCGCCGCTGAGCAGTGCGCTGATTTCGGTGTTGGGGAGTTGCGCCCGCTCCCGATCAAAGTGCTCGGGCGCGCGGACAGACGCGTTCGCCGCCCGGAAGAGGAGGATAATGGGGAGGACAAGGACGAGGAAAGGGATGATGATGCTGCTGCTGATGATGATGATGCTGCTGATGATGATTATGATGCTAATGATGATGAGGATGCTGATGTATATGATGATGATGCGGATGATGATGATGCTGCTGATGATGCTGCTGAGGATGATGATGCTGCTGATGATGATGCTGCTGGTGATGATGCTGCTGATGATGATGATGGTGATGATGATGATAATTATGATGATGCTGATGATGATGCGGAGGAGGAGGAGGGGGAGGAGGAGGAAGAGGAGGAGAGGAGGGGAGGAGGAGAGGAGGAAGAGGAGGAGGAGAGGGAGGAGGAATAGGAGGAGGATGGATGATGATGAGGAGGAGGAGGAGGAGGAGGCAGGAGGAGGAGGAGGAGGAGAAGGAGGAGGAGGAGGCGGAGGAGGAGAGGAGGAGGAGGAGGAGGAGAAGGAGGAAGGAGGAGGAGGAGGGGAGGGGGGCGGAGGAGGAGGAGGGGGAGGAGGAGGAGGGGGAGGAGGAGGAGGAGGAGGAGGAGGAGGAGGAGGAGGAGGAGGAGGAGGGGAGGAGGAGGAGGAGGAGGGAGGAGGAGGAGGAGGAGGAGGAGGCGGAGGAGGGGGAGGCGGAGGTGGTGGTGGTGGACGGCCATGAAGGCGGGTTCAGCATCAGAAGAGCTCGCCGTCGGAGGATTCAGACCCACCGTCTGAGCCGTCCACGCCCCGACGCTGCCCGAGTTCCTTAACCCTCGGCAGCTCAGACTCCAGAATCCCAAAGGCCGCAAGAACAGCCTCTTGCGTGGGCAGTCCTGGACAAAAGCCTTCAGCCGCAGTCGAGCTCGAGCTCGCCGCCGCTGCTTCACACGAATCCACTACTCCCTCGATCTCGACCTGTTCCTGGGAGCTCAACGGGCCAGCGGGGCCGAGCGCGAGGGATTTCGTGGTGGCACGGTAGTGTGGGTGCTTTCCAGCACGGAGGCAATTTAACTGGGTCCTGATCCCAGGGCTGGCAGGCTTCCCGGGACAACGCTCCAGGAGGGTGCGGCCCAGACGCCCCGAGGAGTAGCCCCCACACCGAAAGCAAAATACCACTTTGTCGCCGACCTTTGAGGGCGTCTCGATCGAGCAACGGACTAAAGCGTGCCGCCTGAAGTAGAACGCATATCTGGCTTCGTCGGCCCAGCGCGGATCCACTCCTTCCTCCGCACCCACGACAGTCGACGAAACGACGACCTCCTCCTCCTCCTCGGCGACGTCGGGGGGGGGGCGGGGGCTCCGCAGGCAGCTCCTGGTCGCGCAACTGCAACCCGACCGTGTCCTGCCTGCTCTGGCCGCTGGTGGCCATCAAAACTTCCAGCCTGCCCGCCCACCTCCCCTGCTCAGCCACAAGGGACTTGAAACCTCGAAAAAGTTCGGCGTGGGCGTCATCGACTCCATGCATCCTTGCCCCTAGCTTGGCATACTGATCGGCGCTGGAGTTAGCCTTTTTTATCCCAGACCGTTGTGCGACCAGCTTCAATGTCGTTCCTGGTAGCATGGGCCAGGGTCTGATGGGCCTGAATGTCGCGCCCCTCAAAGGCGGCCCAGAACGGGCTCCACATGTGGCCTCTCGGGGACCTCGCTTCAGCCCCAGACCCTGGACCCCCGAGCAAGATATCTAGAGTGGCCTTGCAATCCAGATACAAAACGAAAGGAGCGATGCCAACTTGTGTGAGCATGAAAATTGCGAAATCCTCACCATCTTTGGCCGTTTGGCGGGGGCCGAAACTGAGCGGCACTGGGCCGTATGCAGCATGCAGCACATTTCCCAAAGGATCCACCTGCACGAGAGCCCATTCAGCTCGGCAGACCCCTGGGAGAGAGGGCCACAAGGCCGATCCGTCACTAAAGATGCACCCCGTGAGGAATCCACTGGCAGGCCTATTCACCCACCTGATCGTGGTCTCGGGCTCTTCTCGCGGAATAAAAGCCAAGGGGCTGGGCATCACGCATCTCGCAAACCGCTCCCCGACGTCCTCCCCCCCGTCCAAGACACGGCGAGCACGAGCTGCAAGCCGGGGGGGAGACCGCGTCTCTTCTGACGCTGCTGTGCGCCGCACATTCATACTGCCTGTGCCGCAGCGTCCCCCGTGCCATCTTACAAAGTTGACAGACATCTGAACTGCGCACCCCATGGCCGTGCACTCTGGCCTGCGGCCAATGCACATTGCACACGAGCGAACGCAGCGCGCGCTGGTGATGGGCCGACCAGTCTTTGGTTTTACCCCTGAGGAGCGTTCCAAGGCCGGCCCAACAAATGGGAAACGCACAGTCGAGCCTCCGAGGGCCCTCGAACCCAAGGCGCCCCGCACTTTCCAACGCAAGCCTGTCGGAGGCTCTGGCAGCTCCTTCGTGCACTAGTTCCCTGATCTCACAGGGCGACAGCTGGCTGAGGTTCCAGACCGAGCCTAAATCATCGCGGAGCCCGTTAAAAACCTTCAGCCGGTCCTGTCCAGGGATAAACAAGCAACATCCGCGGGCGACGAGGCAACCCTCCAAGGGTGGCGATAGCGCGCCAGTTTTTCGATAGCCGCCTCCATCGTCGCCCCCAGGATCAGCCTTGAAGGGAAACTATCCCAAACAGCCGTGGCCCATTGAAAGGCCACGTGCCCCGTGTAAGCCACCAAGGGGTCGCACAGCAAGCCCATCCTGAACGAGTGGAGCCTGAGCCCTAAACTACAGCCTTTGGGGAGCCGACCTATACTTCTAGCGGCCGACGCTCGGAGACCGTGCATCGCAGACGGGGGAATACCCATCGCACTACTCCCCCACAGGGCCACGGCTGTGGCCCCGACTCTTTGGGCGAGGCCTACTTCAGCCCCTGCCTCGCGTAAAATCTGAAGCCTACAAGCTCTAGATCTAGCATGTGCAAACCTACTTCTGGCTATCCCCACTCCACGACAAGAGCCTGACGCCGCGTCCGTTCCCAGATTTCGAGCCGTGTCCACTCGCGACGAAGGCGGGATACGCCATTGCCCCTGGAGAAGCTTCTGTACAGCGGTACGGCAAACGTACTTGGTCTTTTTTCACATCAACAGGAAGTTTAAGCCGATCGAAGTCCCCGAGCAGCGACTCGACACCCGAGCTGAGGACCGACGCGACCTGGATAGCCTTTCC